TCCCGTGGGCAAGATGGCGGACGCGGCCCCTCCGCCGAGCAAGAGAAAGCGCGAAGTGGCCGCCACAGGGGAAGACGCACTCGGCACAGAGGAAAAGGAAGCCAAAGTAGCCGGCGTTGGGAATGGCACCGCTGCCCCTGCCCACCTCCCTTTCTCCGGCTTCAGAGTGCAGAAAGTGCTGCGGGAGTCCGCGCGGGACAAGATCCTCTTCCTGCACGGCAAGGTATCGGCGGCGGCGGCGGCCCTGGGCGGGGGACCGGGTACCGCCGCCGGGAGGCGGATCTCGTGGGCCCTCGGCCGGGAAGCACCAATCGCATTACTCGGGGGTGAGGGAGGAAGCGCAGGTCTGCAATGCTTTGTGGGTGGGGTGGGGATGGAGAAGACCCGGTCACCCGTGGAGGTGGGACCTTTAACACGTGCGGCTGATTTTCCTAACCCCTCCCTTGCAAAAGGAACCGCTGGCACTGGTAGGGTGTCTGGCATGTGAATAATCCCGTGTTAAATTCTTCAAGTCACTCATCGTGTGTCCATCCACTCTGTAAAGGTGCTGGGAACCCAGCAAATGTGGCCGGGCCGCCTTGCCCCCTCCGTGCCCCCGGGGCCGGCAGGAGTCGGACGGTAGGACGGACGGTAGGACATCCGAGCCCTGCTGTCCAGGACTCCAGCCCCGACAGAGGAGCAGGTTATGAAATGGGTAATTCAGTGCCACATGCCATGCGCCGCAGGCCAGCCCTGAGCTGGGTCCTGGGGGTGTAGAGATGAAGGTTCCCAGCCCTGATCTTCAGGGGTGCAGAGGAGCTTGGGGGAGACACATTCCCACCGCCGGCCGGGAATACACGTGCTCAGCTCCCCAGCAGGGACTGGGGAGAGACCGGAGGCCAGGCCCAGCCAAGGGCAGGTCCTGGGGTTCCCCGGAACTCCTAGCAGGAGCTCTCATTTTGGGAGGATCACGGGGGACCTGGTCCTGGGCATCCATGCTTCTCTCTGTGTGTCTCTTGTGTTTTTCACCAGGTTCTGTCTGGTTCTCTCAGCCCCACTTGTCTTCAGTCTGCAGCACCGCTTGAGAGTTTAGCCCTGAGAACGTTTGCGTTTCAAGGAGTTAGTTGGGATGCCCAGATTCTAGTTTCCTTTTCAGTACTGACTGTTCAGGGACCTGGGGCGATCACAGACCTCTCTAGACCTCCATTTCTTCGTCTGTAAAATGGGGAGAATTTAACAGAGGCCCTTGTGAGCTTAAAATTGAAGACAGCCCAGAAGCTTCCCATCTTTGAGAGCAGGGGTGGGGAACCTTTTTTTCTGCCCAGGGCCATTTGGATATTTATAACATCATTCGCCGGCCATACAAAATTACCAACCTAAAAAGTAGCCTGTTTAAAAAAACAACAACAACTAGCCTGCTATATTTGGTCAGGCATTTAATGAACTCACCCCTAAGCCTTGGCAGAGCCAGACCAAATGATTTAGTGGGCCTCCTGGGCGGGAGGTTCCCCCACCCCTGTTTTATTTATTTATTTATTTTTTAAAAAATATATTTTATTGATTCTTTACAGAGAGGAAGGGAGAGAGATAGTTAGAAACAT